TAGATAGATAGATAGATAGATAGATAGATAGATAGATAGATAGATAGATAAATAAATGTACTTTATTGATCCCAATTTTTGAAATTATTGTGTCACAGCAGCATGATAAGGGCATTGTATATAGAGCAAAGAACAAAAGACTGAATACAAAAACGACAAAAGAGCTGTTTGAAAATGCAATAGTTGTTTTACAGGTAAAGTTATGACTGTGACTAAAATACATAAATGTGAGTATAAGATGTGCAGTAAAATATGAATATAATATGTGCAAAAAAAACAAATATGGATGCGGAGATGTGTCATCCATCTTTTAATGGTCTATCTCTCTTCTATCTCTCTCCCTCTCTCTCTCTCCATCCCTCTTCCTCCCTCTCTTTCCCTCATGTTCTGTAGGTGTCAGACAGCCCACTGGACTCCCAAAGTAGCGGGTTTTACCGCTCCCAGCTTTCACTCAGACATAATGAGACCATCATGAGGTCCAGTGACTCAGGGGAGTTTTCTATTGAACGTTACAGCTAACTGGACAGAGGAGCGGCATCTAATGGTCAGGGTGTAGTGAATTGAGGAAAACACATGTGGATTGGGTTTCCTAAAAAATGTCAACGTTCTACCTTTAATCAATTTTACTCATTCAGGGAAGTTTGTATATTATATTAAGTTGAATTCCTAAAAACATCAGAGGAACAGTTGCAATGTTGCCCATACATTTTATTTCACAAGTTTCAAAACATCCATTGAAACAAATATTCTAAATATTTGAATTAATCTTTGCATGATGACACATTTTCCAACCGACATTGGCTCAGTTTTTATCAAGCTGAGAAAAACATATGTGTTCAATAATAAATTAGACTTGAAAAACATTTCATTTCAAGTGTTTGCTTCCTTTGTAGGTTGTACTGAAACTGCTATAATGTAGACTTTATAACAGAGGACCTTAAATGTAGAAGACATGCACAGGATGTATTTGATTAGCCCTCTGTAGTAGCTCTTTGTGGGTTTCATTCTGAAGGAGGCCCTCTTTTGCTATGTGTAGTCTACATATGAATGTGATTATAGATCAGTAAATGGCAAAAACCATGTGAAATGATTGGAAAACCTTTTCAAATTGCTTAACCATACAAGCAACATGCAGCATTTAAAGTGATGTATGGGTCAATGTGCCAATACATATTTGTTCATGATCATCAGACCATTTAGGAATGGATTTAAAAATGAATAGCTCTGCATAGCAAATGTTTTAACTTATTGTGCCAAATAGACCTCAGCTCATGGTGATGTTATGGGGCTATGTATTTTTAATTTGATCTGGAAACCAAAGTCGTAATCTGCTCAGTCCTAACAGCATATGTGAAAATGTTGATAAAGCACAAGCTGTAAATCCTGTGGAGGTAATCACACACAATAAATCAGAAGAACTTTGAAAAAATCAACAGTAGCTGGGCTGTGGACTGTGTTTGGCATTTGGAGTCCAGCAGAGGACTCATTAAGGGAAATCTTAACTTCAACTGTTCAACAGGTCATAATCAGTTTATTTATGCAAAAAGGATAGACATCACAGCCCTAATATTCCATCGGCTGTTTAACCAGTAAACCTTTTTTCTATAACCATGCTGACAGATATTTAAGGCCATATCGAGGAAAATAATTTTGCGAATTGTGAGAGTAAGGTCATA